AAGTTAATAATGTTATATTTCTTAATTAATTTATTATTTGTTGCAACATAATAGAATAATTATGGTTACCATCTTTAATAATCACTTAGATTACAAATATTTCTAACAAAAAAAAAATAATTATATATTGAAAATTTAGTAGATTACTTTTTAGATATTTTTTGATTCAAATTATTATAACATACTTTCTAACTGACTAAAAGAACTTTTGCTACTAGAGGTAGGATTTGAAGTTGCTGATCAAATTTGACCTGACAATTGCATAATGTTGGATCATTTCTTTTCAAAGAGATTTGATAGAGGCATTGACTTAGATAAAAATTTGCCAAATTCATTACGGCAGATTTCTTCAATATTATTAATTCTTGTGATCATATTATTGAAAGTTTTCTGTGTCTTCACACCCGCATTTAAATATATAACTGATAGATAAAATATAATACTGAAAGCATTTACTGTATAAGCAACTTAAGGATTTTAGAAGTTATAATGTACTTGTTAAAAAATAGGATAAATGCTATTGAACTTATAAATAAAAAGCATCACGTGCTTGAAAATCAAGAAAATAATAAGCATGTATAATAGTAGCATAGAAATAATCCTACATAGGTGTAATTCCAATTTTTTTTGCAAGCTACTATTGTATTAATAAAAGTTTTTCTTGTATCTCAGAAATCTTATTTGACTCTTAGTCAAGAAATTTTCTTCACAATCAGTAGCAAAGCCACTTTATTTTGCAATAAGTCTTAGCTTTATTCTAGAAAACTAAGAATTTTATTTGCATTACACACATAAAGTCCCTATGAGATTGTTTAAAATATTAAGCAACTTAGGTTATATCTTATATGAATAAAATAATAAGAAAAAATGATTTTTAACTATCTATATGGATGCATTATAGATGCATTTCTTGTTATGCAGTAGAGAAATATCAAAATTAAGTGATACCACTCTTACTATCAAATTTTCTAAGAAGGTTTTGGATACATATTCTGAAGAATATAATGCATTGCACTATGCAAAGATGTGAAAAGGTCAAATTGTAATTTATTTTTTATCTTTATTTTATTACGATAAATACATATATATTATTTTTTTAACAATATTGAAATAATAAAATCTTTTATTTATAGCTATAAATTATTACAAAATGATGGCATCATTTCATATTAACAATTTTTTATTTAAATTTTTTATTAGTGATTGAATGTTTAATATTGACAAAATCAAAATTTATCTTGGTAGTCTTATCAGCAAATGCATTATTATTTACAGTGATGATAAGATTTTAACTCCTCTATAAAATGACATAAATTTTTCATTAAAATCTTCAAGATTATTGAAATTCATCTCAAAGGTATGAGCTATTTGTGGATATATCACCAAGTCTACCAATTTATTAACTGTATCAATAGCAGTAAAATTAAAGCGAAAAACTTGAGTAATTTTGACACAAAACCTGCACATTTTTTTATCTATAATAAGCTATTTACTAATGTGACTTCTGGATTCAAATTCAAAAGTATGATCAATAAGTTTTTTTTATACTTTCAATTATTCCCAGTGGTAGAGCCCCCCATATTTCCAAATACTATTTATTTGATATAATTTCAGTATTATTAGATGCTCTAATTTGAAATCCAGCCTTTGATAATGCTCTAATCTCTAAATTAACTTGCTTCTCAGTACCTACTGAATTTTCAACAGAATAATTTCTCATTTTCAGATAATGATATTCTCAATCAAACAGTTTACTTCTGTTATTAATCATATCTGTAATCAGAGAAAAGCTGATTGTAACAGATTTAAGGAAATAACTACTATCACAATTAGAGAGTTTTTTCTAATTCTGATTAAGCAATGTACCTGCTCTACATTTGATTATATTGGCATTGATTAAAAGAATTCAGTTAATATTAGCATCAATACAAATATTTGTATAGAAATAAACGCAAATACTAAATTCTTGAGCATGACCCTCAAGTTTAGCAAATACTTTAGAAGAGATCATAATGATTTTTTTTGTCATTAATATTACTGTTATAGCTACTATTATTAGTATTATTACTGTCACTATCATCATCTTTATTGTCATCTTTACTATCATCGCATTTTTTTCTCTGTATTTATCTTTTTCTATTGTTTATCTTATTTTCACCAGGTCCTTCTGAAATATTACTATTGTCACTATTACTGCTACTTGCATAATTGGTTATTTTTATCATTTCGCAAATAACTTTAAATTCACCATCATATATTCTCTCAAGTTGTTCTAAAGTTGATAGGCTTAAAGGCGTTATTACCTAATAGGTAATGCATGAAAAGTTATAATTTTCATGGAAACTGGAACCTATAAAATATACTAGTTATGATTCCAATATACAATCAATATAATCTTTCTTTTTAACTAGTAAATTATATAATTGTTCAACTTCAGTGTGCTTATCAGTTGAGGTTCCATAAGAAATAGTAGCATCTACAGTGAAAAATTTTGAGAAATCTATAAGGTTTACATGACTTCTAATCCTAGGTGAGATAAGGTGAATTTTATTATAGGCAATATTATCAACATTATATTTTTTCTCTGTTTCAGTCATTTTTTCTCTCTCTAATATTAGATCTATTAGATCATTTTCATCATATTTCAAAATTACCAGTACATACTTAATATTGATCTGCTATTTGCAGATACTGATGTCAATATTTACTCTTACTCCTATGTGACTTATGTGACGTATAAATTTTCATTGGCTTAATATTTATTTCTTTATTTTTATATTATATTTTACATTTACATACATTTAAAGTAAATATGAAACAGTTATATAATTATATACTTTATAAATAAAATTTTATTATAAATTTCTAATTGATCAAAGTGAAAAAAACAAAAAATTTCATGTATTTAAAATATTACAAAAATAATAACTCCAGATAGACTCACTATAGATATAAGTAGTTTTGACTACTCTTTCAAAAAATTAATAAGGGTTCCTGTATCCTAATTATGAATATTTAAGTTATATGATGTAAATAAAAATTTCTAACTATTTGCTAGAGGAGCTTTAAGTAGTAGGATGTACAACAACTGTTAGATTATTATCTTTTTCAATATTAAAATAATGAAGAATTGTGTCATAAGATTTTTTAGATGTATGCTATATTTATAGAGATCAGATTAAGGATATCAATTTGTTTTATAATGTTTTTTAAGTCTATGAATACTACAAATTTGAAAAATATACTACAAAATTATTATTATCATTTTTAATGATAAGTTTTAAATAATTAGTTTTATTATCTTATTTTCCTAAATATAAAAGTCTATAGTGAGAAAAAACTTGCTCTTATATATACATAATTTTTGGTATATAGATATCTTATTTTACATTAATCTTACAGAAATGATTTTTTGTAAAAAAGTTAATTAAACTTTTACATATTCCTATATGCTTTATAATTTATTAGAAAAGATTAAAAAGAGATGTTCATTAAAGCAAAGCTAGATATGAAATGCAATTAATATTATTATATGATGTTAAGAAAGCTTTAAAAATACTATAAATAGAATTTATATTTCTTCATATAATAAGATTTTAAAAAAAATCTGATTTACTTTGCAAAATATATAATTAGTTTTACGTTTGATAATCTTAAAATTGTAAAGTTCTTAGCTTTTTATAATATATATTTTATCATTATTATTAATTTATAGGAAAGATCCTATATTGTAATAAAGTATTTTTTCACATTTTTTTACATTTATTTGAAAAAAAATAGAGATAATGGTTAGTATATATAACAACTTTTTGATTATTAAAAATTAATATATTATCTTATAATCTACCTATTTTTTTGTCATATAGTAATATATGCATATAGTATAATAAATTTTTCTGAGTTAATAATTACAGCTCTAGACTAGTTCAATTGAATTGATTAGGTTGATTGGGTTGATCTTTATATTTATACTTAGAAAAGGTTTGTGTATTTGATATAAAACTTACTTATTTAGCCAATCTTTAATTTCTATAAAGAATAAACTTATATTCAAACTTTTTATAAATTTTTTACATTATTTTTAACAATTAAATAATAATATTTAGATTTATAATATAGCTTTTACCAAAGTAAAACCCTGGTATAATTTTTAAATAAATTAATATTTTGATAATTTAAGATTTAAATTATCTTTATATTAAATCTGCTTTTACATTTCTCTATTTAGTAATAAAGTGTATCTTTTTTTTTCTAATTTATAAATTTGCTTTGAAAATATTTTAAATAATTATTATAATTACAATGGCTGACAAAAAAAAACGCAACAACTTATTTTTAGCTTTAAACATTTATAACTTATTAACTACAAATACTAGAAACATAATTTTTGATTCATTTTAATCCTTACATTTTGGAAAACATCCTA